TCACCCTTTTACCACCCCCTGCCCTGTTTGCCCCCAGCACAGGCAGCCCTCCCCAACGGGCTCCAAGCCAAAGCCCTGGGCATCCGGGCTCCAGCGCTCGGCTGCCGGCATGGCACACGTCGCACGGATGCCGATAACAACTGATGGGGGACCCCAACTCACACCGTCCCCCCCAAGAACCAGCCCCATGGGGCTCAGCCCCACGTTGCTCAGCCTGTTTCTGCAGTAGGAGAAACCTGCGGAGCCTGGGGGGGCCAGCGAGCCTTTTTTCAGGACACTCCCAAACCCACGAGAGTCAAAAAATAAATAAAAAAAACCCTAAATCAAGCCACTACCCCCAACCCACCCCAGATCCAGCTCTCTCCGATGCCGGGAAGCACTGAGACGGGCACCTTTGGCTCGGTACCAGCTCATTAATGCAGAGAAGCACTTTGCATTGCACTTATTTCCTTTTTTTTTTTTTTTTTAAATCAAGAATCCAAAAGCAGCACCCCATACACCTCGCCAAAAGGCCACAAAGCTTTGTAGCACCAGGGAGCACATGGGCACCCATCACCCCCCATTCAGGGGTCCTTATCTCTAAACATAAGGCACAAAGTGCCGCACAATCGCTCGGCGCAACCTCAGCCCCGGAAAAACGCCAACGCTTCATCTTCCCAGTGCCTCGGGAAGGAGATTTATGGTGGAGAGCACTCTCCCCGAACGCTGCGCCAACGTTTGCGTTCCCTGGCTGGACTACAAGCGCGCAGTCGCTCGCAGAGTGCTGCCCTTCCCGTCGACTTCGCGTCTTACAGAAGGACTTACCCAGGCAGAGTCGTGGCTGTGGCCTCCCTGGCTGCGGGGAGAGGAAGAGGAGGAAGAGAAGGAGCTGGTGGCTTGATGGGACCCGCTGGGCTGAGCAGGCTCAGGTGTGGGGTGGGAGCGATCCTGCCCCAGCTGCCCTCCCCCGGCTGCAGCCGTTGTGCTCAGGGGTTGGGTCTGGATCCCCTGTAATTGGGATCTGCTGCTCGTTAGTGAGGCTGCTCCATCCCCTTTCCCTCCATTCCACCTCCCCCCTCCCCATTTTTTTGCCCCTTTGGGGGACACTTCACAGCAGAGTCCCCGTGAGAGCCAGCTCCAACCCTGCCCGGCTTGAGCTGCACCGTCCTTGGCTCCGGCTCCGTGTAGGTGC